TGATAGGGGAGGCTTACACTGTACCCTACACGACACCTACTACATTAGGCCACACTACCAAGACATGGAGTCAAAGCACCTCTAATCTAATCTAATACATAGAAACAAACACAGGGAGGCTGCCAAAACGAGGAGACAAAGAACCATGGCTAAAATGAGAGAACAGATCAAAACTCCAAAAAAAGAGCTAAACGAAATGGAGGTAAACAATCTATCAGATGCAGAGTTCAAAACACTGGTTATAAGGATAATCAAGGAATGTAGTGAGAACCTCAACAGCATAAAAAAGATCCAGTCAGAAATGAAGGACAGACTAATTGAAATAAAGGCCAATTCACAGGGAAACAGAGTGGATGAAGCTGAGAATCAAATCAATGATATGGAACATGAAGAAGCAAAAAACAACCAATCAGAACAATAAGAATAAGAAAGAATAAAAAAAAAAAAAAACAAGGACAGTATAAGCAGCCTCTGGGTCAACTTCAAGGGGTCCAACATTTGCATCATAGGGGTGCCTGAAGGAGAAGAGAAATAGCAAGAAATTGGAAATCTGTTGGAAAAAATAGTGAAAGAAAACTTCCCTAATTTGGTGAAGAAAATAGACATGCAAGTCCAGGAAACACAAGGAGTCCCAAACAAGATGGATGCAAAGAGGCCCACTCTAAGACACATCATAATTAAAATCCCAAAGGTTAAAGATAAAGAGAGAATCTTAAAAGCAGCAAGAGAAAACAAGTTAGTCACTTATACGGGAGTTCCCATAGGACTGTCAACTGGTTGCTCAAAAGAAATTTTGCAGGCTAAAGGGACTGGCAAGAAATATTCCAAGTCATGAAAAGCAGGGATGTAAATAGCCAAGATTGCTCTACCCAGCAAAGATATCATTAAAAATTGTAGGGCAGATGAAGAGCTTCGCAGACAAGAAGAAACTAAAGGAATTCATCATCACCAAACTATTATTATATGAAATGTTAAAGGACCTTATTTAAAGAAAAAAAAAATCAAAACTATAAACAGTAAAATGTCAGTAAGTACATATCTATCAACAATTGAGCAAACTAAGCAAAAAAGAAGGATAGAGACAGAATTATAGATTCAGAGAGCATTTGATGGTTGCCAGATGGAAGAGGGGTGTGGAGGAATAGGTGAAAAGGTGAGGGGATTAAGAAGTACAATAGGTAACTATAGAATAGCCATGGGGATGTAAAGTACTCTATAGGAAATAAAGTAGTCAGAGAACTAACAGGCATGACCCATGGACATGGACAATGGTGGGGGATTGTCTAAGGGAGCAGGGCATGCTAGGTGGAAGGGCAGCAATGGGGGAAAAATCAGGACAGCTGTAATAGCATAATCAATAAAATATAATATAAAAAAATTTTAAATGCTATATATATATGGAGCTCCCTCTATTGGGCGCTAGTCTGAGGAGCAGGGAGTCTTATAGTAACTTTTTTAAAAAAAGATTTTATTTATTTTTAGAGAGAGGGGAAGGGAAGGAGAAAGAAAGGGAGAAAAATATTGATGTGAGAGAGTAATATTGATCAGTTGCCTCTCAAACGTGCCTGACTGGGGATGGAACCTGCAACCTATGCCCTGACTGGGAATTGAACTGGCGATGATGCCTAACCAAGCCACACCAGTCAGGGCCATGTAGTAAATTTTAAGTTGTCTGTAAATGTCTCTTTAGAAAATAAGTCTACTGAGATAGATGTATAAGAAGATGAGATAGGCTCTTTCTTTCTTTCTTTCTTTCTTTCTTTCTTTCTTTCTTTCTTTCTTTCTTTCTCTTTCTTTCTTTCTTTCTTTCTTTTTTAGGTAATTGCTTTATTAGGAGCTAACAATTTATATAAATGCTTGGGTATGTCCCCTGGAGAAGCTTTAATGTTATGACAGAGTGGGAACTAGTTGGATCTAAAAGTATACGTGTAACCCCAATTATTTGCATTTGAAAACTAAGAGTGAAGGTAGGGCTCCTGTCTTTAGTAGGATCTTCTCTTTCTTCTGTAGCCATGTTTGCTCCTCAAATCGTGTCCTACAGAAGGATCCTGCCAGCTCAATAAAAGCTTTCTGGTTCTGCTACAACTGATGCAGTGAAGAGGGCTGGCTCAGTAAAGCCCTTGGGAAACTTCTGGCTTTACTGCTTACTCAGATGGGAGCACCTTAAACTCAGGGTGCATCTTCATGTTCTTACTTGTCAACACGGTTTAGTGCTAGTGCCCTGTCTCTTTCTTAAGGTCATCAGGAGACTATAATGAGTCAATAATGAGGTCAAGAATATGAACAAGCTTTGTAAACTCTTCCTGCAGCAGATGCAGATTAGAGGGCAAGGTGATCATTCCTCACTGCTTGAATATTTGCCTTTGGGAAGAATTAGTCTGAGGTGGAGAAAAGTGCACTTTGAAAACTAAAATCTTAAAAAGGACGCTAATGGCTCAAACAAATGTCAGGTTTATTTATAAGTGGTAATTAATGGAAAATGAATTTGATGTACTGAGCAGTCAGAGGAACATTTGGTTTCAAATCCTCCCTACCTATCTCTCCTTGAAAGGAAAAAAAGAATAGGAAAAAAGAAAGGAAGGAAGGAAAGGGAAGGAAGGAGGGAGGGAGGAAGAAAATTAGAAAAGAGCATAAACATAAAGTAGAACATAATTCAGGGACAAAGTCATTAGTGAGAAAATATTTGTTCGTATAATTCTTCTTGTTAGTCTGAGTTCCTCCAGGTTGGAACTGGATCTTATTCATCATTGTGTGGCACATCCTAGAGATTATTTAGGATGAATCATATGGCATTGCCATTTTTACAGGAAAATACAGTCTAATATTGGCAATGCCATATGAGTCAACCCCTAAGCATTAAAGATGCAAGAGATCTAAGGGTCATACTCATTCAGTCAGTTTTAACCTGCTCCCATAATGCTCTTTCCCATTTCCCACACCTGGTCAGAGAAGTAGGACTTTCCTTTCATTATCTGCTTGACTCTTAAGATTCATGCCTCTCTCTTTTAAGGCTACCCTTGATGTTCTCTCGAACTTAAAAATTTGTAAACATTAAGTACATGCTGTACTAGTGCCCCTTTCTCAACGACTTCAGACCTCTGAAGAAGGGACCTCATTATGACCCAAATTTAAATTCCCATTTCATTTGATAGATATAATAGCCTCTAGTCAAACAAATGGAATTTCTTCATTAGGGTGGGTATAGATTTTTTTCTTCCTTCCCTCTCATTTCCTTCCTCCCTTATCCTCCCCCTCCTCTCCTCTTTTTCCTCTCTTTCTCTCTTCCTCCCTCCCTCCATCTCTCCCTCCCTTCTTTCCTTCCTGCCAGATGAGGTAGATAGACTTGAGTGAACTAAGGGGTATGCAAGGCTTGTATCATGGTTTCCCAGAGAGGACACCTGGATCTTACATACTTCCTTCAGCCCCTCAGGATGGTGAGCATTGGACAGAGGTTATGTTGAATGGGACTTATGCAAATCAAGCAGATCTCCAAATGGAGGTAATGAATTTCCATTTCTCCTTCCATATATTTGTTTCTTTCATTTACTTTTGCCTGAAAGATTTGTTTTGGCAGTGTTTGGCTCTGTGGCAAAATGGTATAACATCCCCACCATCACAACTATTTTTGCATCATATCATGTCATTGACATGCAGAGCAGCACTACAAATTTTATTTTTTATCATAATGACTATATACAGAGGCCTTGAAAGGTATAATGATTTTATAAAATAGATAAGGCCATCAGTTTCCTTTGCTGAAAATCCAAATAGCAGTAGAGATAGGGCCTGGTAGAGGTAGTATGATAATCACATGGACATGTGAGAATGCAGGCTCATAGGGCAGGCGTTGTTGTTTGCTTTGTTCCTGGCCGCACCTGGGGCCTAGAACAGAGCTGGCAATGAGGTATTGTGAGGGAGCAGATTAAAGATGGAAGAATGACATTTAGATCTCTTGCATCTTTACCTAACATTAATGAGACACATAGTAGGCAATGAGAAATAGTTACTGAATGGATGAATAGGCATTTCAGTTCAACTATTGAGTTGATATTATCATAATTCCATAACTACTCAGTTCACTAGTTATATATCCCCTCCAATCTTGTTTTCTCATTTCTAAAATAGGGATTATTGCGCCTATCTGGCAGGGCTGTTGAAAAGATTAAATGGAAATTCATGGAAAGCATAATAGTAGGCACTTAATAAATGTTAGTGCCTTTTCTTCCCTTCTAGTTTCTTAAGAATATGTCTGTATGTGAGTTTATATATGTGTGTAGTGTGTGTGTGTGTGTGTGTGTGTGTGTGTGTTTGTGTATGTTTAGGGGGGATAGGGGAGGCTAGGAGAAACAAGTTATTTGGTTCATGTTGATCAGGGCTTCTCAAACTCAGCTAAGCACTATGCCATTTTAGGCTGGATAATTGTTTGTAGTTGGGTGCACTGTAGGATGTTTAGAAGTATTGCTGCCCTCCACCTACTAGATGCAGTTACACCCTCCAGTCTTGACAACTAAACATGTCTCTAGACTTTGCTGATGTTCCTGAGGAAGCAAAATTGACTCCTGTTAGGAGCAACTGATTCTAATCACCCGCTGGATAATTAAATATTTCAAATTATAAATAAGTTGTCAGGTACTGTGTACATATTGCCTATGGTTATAATATATGTTTAAATGTACATGAAATCAGGGAATATACAAAAAAAAAAGAAAAGCAGCAAATATCAAATTAAGCTATATAGTCAGCCCATAATTATCCATGAAGTGAGTAATGATTTACTGCCCTGCACTAGATTGTTTTCCTCAGTATGGTTGGTTCAGACTCATCATATTAATAGCAATCAATTTCCTGGACACATGCTGGCTAATAACAGGGAGAGATGGCAAGCGTGTATGGGGAGAAATCATTTGGGTTTCTCAAATTATCATGGATACCCACAAAGTGCACACTTTAACCACAGGTTATTAGCAAACTTAAAAAATAATAGCAACATTCATACTTACAGGTGAATTAAAGACTTTAGTCCCCGGAAAGTATATCTTGAAATGGACTTGATGTTGTTGTTTTCTATGAATCTGCAATAGGTTATAATATTTTTGTTAGACAGCTGTAGGAATCTGAGAGCACTTGGCCTGAATCATTACATTAAAAAAAGGTGTTGGGTTTTTTTTTTACTTACAAATACTCTAAATGTGGAAGACCAATAAAAGCATCATCACTGATCACATCAAAGGAGTTCGATGTGAATAACCTGCCCAGAAAAAGTACACAATGAAAATGGTTAAACTGACAGATTGTCAATTTATGCTGCTTTCTCTCTCAGAGAAACAAGTGGGAGTTGTGTACAGAAAAATGTCTGGATGTCTGCCTTCTAACGTGTTATTTATTCAGGTATTTTTGTAGCTTTTTAAAGTCCCCAATTATCTTCTCACCAAATGTTCACCCAGGAAGACGGGCTTTGTGCCCCACTCCCCACCAGTGATGGATGTCGCTGTCCTGGGCTACATTTTGAGATACTGTTTGGGCAATATGAGAGCCAAATTGACATTTTGCATATTTTCATGAAAAATACACTAATGGAATCTTTCCCTTTGTTCTAAAAACTTCTGGAACATTCTGACCAGGCCAAACAATGGTGCTTCAGGGTTTTAATCCAGGGAAACCTAAAAAAGTAACTCCGTGCTCCATTGTGCTGTGACATCTCATAGTACATAAGCCATTGACACTGGCTCAATGAACATCAACTAACATCCTTTGAAAACAGAACAGGATGAAGATGTGTAATGATGAGGCTTAGGAAGAGTCTTAGCTCCTTTTATTATTAAATAATTGAGGACACTAACTTGGACAAATTTACTTGCACTTTCAAAATCCACAGGGATTTGGTTTCGAAATTACTAATGAAAGGGAACATTAACCAGCAGTCCCCACACCCTGTTGAACTCTTTGGAGACTTTGCCAGTTTTCTGAATGGGAAGTTTAAAAGAGGCAATCATAAGCTAAATAATACAAAGCACAGTTTTGTTTTTGTTTTAGAGTGAGCATGAATTTATGGAACTCTTCAGATTAAGGGTCGATGCAAGCTGAAACTAAAGTTTTAAATGTACTGGAGATAATGGGTTCAAATGATGTTCAGTCTACATGTTAAGATTCTTATACAAGGGAATCTCATACCCCACCTGGAACTATTGTCCAAAATGTAACCATGATCATGGACTAGACCAGATATTATGCATAATTTGACAGTTTACATTACATGCATACTGTTTAATTGTACTATGAAAAGTCCAATATTCTCTGTTACAACCTTTTTGTTTTTTTCTTTTGAAGTTTAGGGATTAAAAATAACTGCCACTAACTAGCTTTGTGACTTCATCTCTCTGAGACTGTTAACTAAGGAGATTAAAACAAGGAGATCTCACTTTCTGAATATGTATGAATAACTTATCTGATATCTGGGACTGCTTCAAAATGATCATGGGAGGAGACAGCAGTGCCTTAGGGATGAATTGAGCATGAAACAATAATTTTTGAAGCTGAAAGATGGGTACATGGGAATGAACTTTATTATCTCTGCTTTTTTTATATGCTTGAAATTTTCCATAAAAATAAGGGGGAAACACGAACCAAACAAATAAAACTAGACGATCTCTTGCACTTCTTCCTAAGCTATCAATCCTGGAGTGAAGTATTCTCTTTTATCCCCCCTCCCTCCAATATCATAGCTTTATACTCCAGTAATTCACCAGGCTCTGAAAAGTCAACACCAATGACTGACTAGTCATACATATTAGATGCCTATAGTTACTAAAAACAAATTCAGAGGTTTATGATTTTAGTCACAACTTTGGCAATTGCCTCTTCTTACTTCATGGTTCTGGAAAACAAGAAGATTGTGCGGCCTTACTCCAAGATAAGCTAACATCCAAGGACCCAAAGACTTCCTGAGACTCCAGATTTTCATTTCCTTCTGTATAGACAGCATTAGGGATGGAGAGAATGGAAAAAGGCAGAAATAGATACAGAAAAATACTTCCCATGCTCACTGGTTTGCCAACTGTCCCGTGGGTGGACCAGCAACTTCATAATCATGCACTTCAAGTCACCAGAAGAAATAGCTTCTCTCACTAGTTCCCCTTATGTTGAATCAGATGCAAAACAGAGTGGGAAATGGATATTAGTGGGCAGAACTTGCCCACACATGTCAGGGAAATAAAACAGGATTTCCACTAGAATTTTTATCTGCTTGAGCATTGCTTATCCCTGGAACCTGTAATACTGCCTGTCCTATAGTGGACACTGAATAAATATTTGTTAAACAAAGAGGAATTTACTTTACACTAAATTCTGGGCATTACTGCATTACTAGATTGAATGTTCTTTACAGCAAAAAATTATCCTTATTTGCTTCTGTGTCCCTAGCCCCAAGCACAGTTCTTGGCTGAATAATGTTTGTTGAACTAGGTTTCAAAGATTAAAACCTCTAGTTAAAACTTCAACTACATATAAAAATATGGATGACATTCAGAATTTAAGTCAAGGGAAAGAAGCCAGAACACAATAAATTATCTCCTATATGATTATACTTATATAAGAAACAAAACCCAGCAAAACTGATTTATGCTGGCAGAAGTCAGAACAGTGGTTACACTAGGAGGCAAGTAATAGCTAGATAGAGACACAAGGGGAGTGTTTGGGGATTTGATGTTTGGTTTCTAGGTACTGGTTACAAGGATGTTCACTTTATTAAAAAAATCATGGTTGGGGTGAGTAAATAGGCAGAGCATGGAGGATTTTTAGGGCAGTGAAAATACTCTGTATGATACCATAATGATGGATACATGTCTTATATATTTGTCCAAACCCATAGAATGTACAACACTGAGAGTGAACCCCTATGTAGACTGTGGATTCTGTGTGATGATATAGGTTCATCAGTAGTAACAAATGTATGGCTCTGCTGGGAGATGTTGGTAATGAGTGAGGCTATGCATGGGTCAGGGTAGGGGGTATACAGAAAATCTCCACGGTGTCTCAATTTTTCTGTGAACCCAAAACTGCTCTAAAAATACAAAGTCTTAATTTTTAAAAGCTGAGATGTACACTTAGGATATGTGTATTTTTCTTTATGTATGTTACATTTCAATAGAAAGATTTCTAATAAAAGCAAAAGATTTCCCTTTGGCTGAGATAATAATGAATATCAGTCCTTCAGTTCTAAATTCAGTTGTCATTTTCTGTAGACAAGGATTCCATGGACAAGGATGTGTTATATTACACTACATACATTCTAAATCAGTTGAGTGGGCTCTTCATTTTAATATCCTATGTAAAGCTAAAAAAGACTTTAAAACATCAGGTTCTATAAAGCAGGTGAAACTCTGATCCTTAATATTTTATGGATTCCTCTGAGTATGTTTGATTTCAATATTAGGACTTGTTTTTGTGCCAGATATGTTAAAGAATTCCACAGACCCCGTTAAGGGAAACTTTGCTCACCCCCAACCCCCATCTTCATACAAAACAGAACTGGGGCAGACCGTGGTGACCATATTTTATACCATACAAGCTCTGTCTCTTTCTCTAGATTATTAGGACAAGAAGGATTCAGCTTCTTATACAGGATAGCTAATTCTGAGGTTGGTCAGCATGGCATAACCCAAGCAGCCTGGCTCAAAAAGGCAGGTTGGACTGAAGACGAGTCCCTTCCTGGGGCTTCGGAATCAGCAGAGGTGGAGCCAGCTGGCAGAGGACCTGAAGGAGGAAGGCTGCCTTAGGGCTGCCTTAAATCCATGGCAGGCAGAAGTATGTGCAAGACATACTTAAAGAGAGAGAGTACCATGTGGAGGAGATGTGTGTGCAAAAGGAAAGCATGTGTGAAGGCTGGAACAGGGAGTCCTCTAGATCTGTGTTAGATCCTAAGCCGGTACTTCTCAGTCTTGGTCATATTTGGAATGACATGAGGAACTTTAAAATTACTGATGCCTAGTCCTCAACCTCAGGGATCTGGTTACATTCTATATCTGGGTGTGGCTTGGGAGTGGGGATAGTTAAAAGCTCCCCAGGTGGCTCTTAGATGCAACCAGGGCTGCATAGGGTACAATAGACCCCCTTTACCTGTGGTGACCATGGAGGTCTGTACCGCTTGCAGCAAGTCTGGCTGGAGCAGTTGCTCTGGTATGGAGCTGCTGTGGTTTGCCCTGTCCCCGTAATTACACATAGCCAGAATCTGTGATATTATGATTCAGATTTCGCAACTCTCCTCACGATGGCAGTACCATGAAGGGTTGGTGGGGACCAATGTACCTTCTGAATGAACTTGTTACCCTGAGCTACACATCAGAGATCTGGACCCCATAAACCTGCCAAGCAGCGATTCTGTGTTATATAGAGATGATATAGAATTTGCCCTCTGCCCCTAATCCTGTGGTAAAATTTGAGGTCTCTGCCACTTCCTGTGTTCTTAGGGAAGGAAAAGCTAAGCACTTTTTCCTAGAATTTTGGTGGAGACAGACACAGGATGTGTCCTGACCTATCAGTACCCTGCCCACCAAGGGCTGTGCACTTACATCTCTTAGCTATCAGCCCCATGAATTCAATGAGAAACGGGACTGTGAGAGGAATGGAGAGGATTTTTTTTTCCTGCAATCAAAAAAGTATATATATTATCTTACCAAGAAGAAGATTTAGGAAAACATATATACTTAGTTGACAGTTGATATCAACTATCAATTCCAGGCAGGCAATTGCCCATTCTTTAAATGACACTCATTGACTTCATTATAGCCTACATTTCATAGAATCGTGCTGGATTATCTGATTTGGTCTTTGGAACAATTCTGTGAGTGGTTAGAAAAGGTGTTAATATCTCTTTGACAGAAGGAAAGGGAGGCTCAGAAGGCTATTAAAAACTTTGCTCAGGGTCATGAAGCCCAAGACTCCTGGTCTACTGCCTTTTTCACACATCAAATGGCCTCTCAGTTTAGGACCCACATCACACGATGACATAATATCCACATTCTGGCAGACAACCATAACACCACTCAGCTCATAAGGACTTAATGAAATCTAGTTGAATAATAATCCCTTTCTTCGAGGAATCAATTAATTAATATAAGTAGCCTCAAAGTCACTTTAAGATCATATCAACTTGTATTTTTTTAAGTAAAGAATTTGAAAAATTTGAATGCAGTTTGGTGTATTCTGCTTAGAAATATTATAAACTCATTGTGGAAATTCTGGAAAACACAG